ATAGGTGTCATAAAATGTAGAGATCGAATATATGACAAAATACCTGTGCAAAGAAACAAATGTATGAATACCTTACTGCCGCATTAAAGCCATATGAAAAGAACACACAGAAGTGTCAGTGAAGCAACAGTCTGGGGTTCTAGCTTTACCTTAGCCAGCATCGCACAGGATAGTTCATGTAGGTTTCTCAAGACTAGAAAAACAGCTAGCCCAGTTGAATTCATTTATATCCAACAGACACTGTGTGCCAGGCCCTGGGGCTATGTCAGGCCCAAGAGGCATCCTGGCCTCAGGGAGCACAGTCCTATACAGCACAGACCACATGGCCCTTTTTCTGTGTGAGGCTGGGCTCCACTGTACAGGGGGTAGAGCAAGTCATTCCCTTTGCCAGCTTACAACATCAGGACTGTGCACGCCCCACTTGCAAAATATTTGCCCACGGTCTGGAACATCCGAAATAGCATAAACAGTTCTCCTTTTTTAAAATTTTTTTCCTTTTTCTTTTATTATTCATATGTGCATACAAGGCTTGGTTCATTTCTCCCCCTGCCCCCACCCCCTCCCTTACCACCCACTCCACCCCCTCCCTCTTCCCCCCCCCAATACCCAGCAGAAACTATTTTGCCCTTATTTCTAATTTTGTTGTAGAGAGAGTATAAGCAATAACAGGAAGGGACAAGGGGTTTTGCTGGTTGAGATAAGGATAGCTATACAGGGCATTGACTCACATTGATTTCCTGTGCGTGGGTGTTACCTTCTAGGTTAATTCTTTTTGATCTAACCTTTTCTCTAGTCCTGTCCCCTTTTCCTATTGGCCTCAGTTGCTTTAAGGTATCTGCTTTAGTTTCTCTGCATTAAGGGCAACAAATGCTAGCTATTTTTTAGGTGTCTTACCTATCCTCACCCCTCCCTTGTGTGCTCTCGCTTTTATCATGTGCTCAAAGTCCAATCCCCTTGTTGTGTTTGCCCTTGATCTAATGTCCACATATGAGGGAGAACATACGATTTTTGGTCTTTTGGGCCAGGCTAACCTCACTCAGAATGATGTTCTCCAATTCCGTCCATTTACCAGTGAATGATAACATTTCAATCTTCTTCATGGCTGCATAAAATTCCATTGTGTATAGATACCACATTTTCTTGATCCATTCGTCAGTGGTGGGGCATCTTGGCTCTTTCCATAACTTGGCTAAACAATTTTCCTTCTTGAACATCATATGAAGCTGCCTGCGAGACACAGCCATGTTTTCCTTTGAGGCACTGTTCTTGGTCACCATTTTAGGTGCTTTTGTGTGTAGTTATGGAACTTGTCAGGCTTCCTATGACTGTTGAAATGGCTTTCAATTTGCATTTTCCTGGAAAGTATTCATTTCATCCAGGATTTAAATCCACAAAAGAGGAAGTTGTAAACTGTCTTGAGATTCTGAGAAATTTCGATTTTCCCTGAGTGTGGTTCTAGTCTATATTCTTACTCAAATCGGATATTTTGCATTTTATACATTTGTGTGTGTGTGTGTGTGTGTGTGTTGACACATACAAGTTACTTCTCTGGTTTTTAAAATATAAGTTATTAAGCTGGTGGAGTGGCTCAAGTGGTAAAGCACCTGCCTAGCAAGCACCGTGAGGCCCTGAGTTCAAACCCCAGAACTGGCAGGAAAAAAAAAAAAAAGAATGAGTTATTGGTTTCATTTCCCAAGTCTGATTTTTCTGCTTTCTAAAACATCAGTTATTCCCGCTCTATCTTTATTCTTTTTCAAGTGTCTTGAGCTGAATTTGCAGTGATAAAAAATTGTTGATAATTAATAACAAATAATTTGTTTCCATTTTCTCTTGTCTGATATGAAAAATGTTATAAACCAGAGCCAAACTGCATGCAGTTTGGGTCCACATTCCATAGACTTTGCAATATACTGTGTACTCATGTCACTACGTTCTAATTATAGATTTTAGTTCTTTTACTTTGACATTTTTGAAAGTCAACTTTTGTTTTGCATTGATGGAGTAGCTCACATTTTGTTATTCAGTTCTGGTTTTATTTTGCTATGGTAAAGAGGGTCCACACACAGCAGATGTCTCTTCTCTCTTCTCTTCCCTCTTTTCTGGGTTCTGTCTTTCCCTGGGCCTCTAGGGCCAGGACTCCCCTTGAGACAACTGTCAGCTTGATTATTAAGGATTTGATTTTCTCCTTTATCTTTCTTTCAAAAGGTAATTTATCTAGTCAAATCTATTCAACACATGTCCTTAAAGGTGTTCATGTCTTGTACAGGAAAGCAACACGAGTCAACTCCCTGTATAGCTATCCTTATCTCAACTAGCAAAAACCCTTGTTCCTTCCTATTATTGCTTATACTCTCTCTTCAACAAAATTAGAGATAAGGGCAAAGTAGTTTCTGCCCGGTATTGAGGGGGTGGGGGGGAGAGGGAGGGGGTGGGGTGGTTAAGGGAGGGGGCGGGGGGCAGGGGGGAGAAATGACCCAAGCATTGTATGCACATATGAATAAAAAAAAAAAGATGTTCATGTCTTTAAAACTTCTGTGGTAGTGAAACATAACTGATATCCCTCCCATGTTTTTCTTATTGCTTTTGATTTTTGAAGCAAGGTCTCACTGTGTATCCCAGGCTGGCCTCAAACTCACTATAGAGCCCAGGGTGGCCTCAAACTTGTAATTCTCCTGTCTTGGCTGCCTGAGTGTTGGGATTGCAGGCAAGCACCACCACATCTGGCTACTCCTGTCATTTTTACTGAGAAAGCTCAATTTGTTAGGATATTCACACTAAACAGGTTTGTGTTTTGAAGTCATTGCCCCACTGCCCTATCATCAAATCCTCCTTCCTTTCCTAAACATCATTTTGCTTTTACTTTTTTTTTGGGGATGAGGGTGGCACTGGGATTTGAACTCAGGGCCTCACACCTGCTAGGCAGGCTCTCAGCCAGCCCCTTAACCATCGTTTTGAGCAAAGTTCATAATTTTCAGTCACTTTCAAGTACTGTATTTGGGTTTTTTTGTTGTTGTTTGTTTTGTTTTTTTGAGATGTGATCTCACTATGTAGCCTAGGCTAGCCTTGAACTCTATCCTCCTGCCTCAGCTTCCCAAATGCTGAGATTGCATGTGTGAGCCACCAGGGTTGACTCACTTTCAATTACTAAATGCCCTATCCCATTAAAAGTCTCAACTTAAGAATCAATTTGATTTCACTTTATACCCCATCCCATCGCCATCCTCTGCCTCGTCTAGTGGTCAAACCTCCCCAACTCTTTCTCCGCTTGTCATTTCCACAGGTTCCTTAGATTTGCTAAATTTGGCCTCTGGTTGAGTTTTTTTTTTTTTTTTTTTAGAGGAGGACTGTACTGGGGTTTGAACTCTGGGTCTCACACTTGCTAGGCAGATGCTTTACCATGTGAGCTACCCCTCCGACCCTTTCTGCTTTGGTTATTTATTTTTTTATTTATTTGCAGTACTGGGGTTTGAACTCGGGGCCTACACCTTGTGCCACTTTGTCAGACTTTGTGTATGTGTGTGTGTGTGTGAGATGGGTTTTTTGAGACAGAGTCTCATGAACTATTTGCCTGGGCTGGCTTTGAACCTCAATCCTCCTGATCTCTGCCTCCTAAGAAGTAGGATTATAGGTGTGAGCCACTGGTGCCCGACTTGCTTTAGTTATTTTTGAGATATGGTTTCTCATGTATGCCTGGGCCAGCCTGGCCTTCAATCCTCTTAGTTACACTTCCTGTACAACTTGAATGACAGGATTGCACCACCACAAGCAGCTTTTATTGGTTGAGATGAGGTCTCAGGGACTTTTCACATGAGCTGCAAACTAAAATCCTCCCAATCTCTGCTTCCAGAGTAGCTAGGATTACAGGCATGAGCCACTGTGCCCTGGCTTTTGTTGGTTTTAGACAGAGCCTTATCTTAATTCATCACTTATCTTTGATGATGTTTGGTGTATTTCACTTTTGATGTGATGAAATTGAACACATTTTCCTTCTTCAGGTTTGTGGGTTTTGAATCTTTTTTTTTTTTTGTACTACTTGAGTTTGAACTCAGGGCCTCGTATTTACTAGGTAAATGACCTACCACTTGAGCCATACTCTTTGCATCAGTTTATTTTTCAGAAGGTCTCATGGTTTTCCCAAGAACCAAACTTGAACCACAATCTTCCTACCTCTGCCTCCTGGGTAGCTGGGATTACAGGCATGTACCATCATGCCGGCCTTGAATCTTTTTAAAAATATACTTCATTTTAAGTCATAAAGATGTGTCCCTATATGTTTTTAACTAATTTTGACTTTTTTTTAGTTTTTACATTTGCAGTTTTTCTCTAGAGTGTGGTATAGTGAGATCCAGTTACATTTTTCTCTGTCTGATGAGTCAGTCTGCACCATCTACTACAGAGTTCTCCATTTCCACAGACTTCATGCTGTCTCTAACATGTGCCAAGTCCCTGTGTGTGCAGGCACCAGGCCGTGGGCTCTCCAGTGCCACATTAGTCTATTTTTCTGTTTGTTTGCCTGTCCTGTGATTTTATCATTATAAGCTTTGAAATATATCTAGACAGAGATATCTAGTTGGTCAAATCTGCCCCCAGCCTGACACTTCCAGTTTTCTCAAAACTGTCCTATAAGCCAGGTATGGTGGTTCATGCTTGTAATCCTAGCACTCAGAAGGCCGAAGCAGGAGGATCTCGAGTTCTAGGTCAGACTGGGCTACATAGTGTCTCAACAAACAAACAAATAAAAAACCCTATCATATAATTCATGGACTATTGTCCTTCAATGTCACTGTAAAATCAGATTGTCCCATTCTTCATTCAAATGCTTGATCTTCAGAGATTACATAAGAATTGGCACAGTTAAGCATGGCCTTGAACTTGGGCCACAGTGTAGAACTAAGCATCACAGAGCAGGTTCATAGCTAGGTCTCATCCCCGGGACAGCCCAGGCTTAGTCCACTCATGCTGCTGCCGCCATCTGAGACCTGCCCCTCCCTTCCCTGCAGGACACCTCTGGCAGTTCCCTCGCCTGCAAAGTGAACAACACCTGGATCCAGATGGGGGTGGTGAGCTGGAGCTTTGGCTGTGGCCAGCGCCGGTTCCCCAGCATCTACACCAGCACCTCTTCCTTCACCCATTGGATCAAGAAGCAGGTCACCGACTTGAGGTTCACCAGTAGGGCTGGCCCTTCCTTCCTGAGCCCAGTCATTCTCACTGGCTACATTCTGCTGGTCTCCTTGGGCTCCCTGTGGCTCCTGTGAGCCATGAGTCCAGGACGGTCATTCCTGGAGGCTGCTTCTCCCTCCTCTCTGGCTCTGCCTTCAGGAGAACTGGAGTGCAGAGTTTGCACAGGACATCAGGACAGAGTGACATCGAGGGAAGGTCCTAGATCCACAATTGTTTTGTTTTCATTGTTCAATGGAGATGTTCTTGAATCTTAAGCCCCTGAAGTCTTTTTCTTGACTTTGACCCAAGCCCTTTGGAACCTCTCTCACCCCGCCAGGCCTGGTTGTCCTCTGAAGCTGGCTTTCCCAGATAGTCTGACCCATATATGTCTCGGGCCTGTTGTATGATCTTGTATCTGGGCTGCAGTGTCCTGCTGAATAGGGATCGAAGTCTCTGCTTAGTCATGGCAGCACCTCTGCAAACCTCAGGTCCCCAGGGCCCTCCCTGGGTGAACATTTTCCCTTATGCCATCTGGAAAACTCACAATGGCCAGATCAGACCTGTGTTTGTGTCCATGTTCTGGGACCCTGGCTTTCCCAACTCCTTATCTCCCCCTAAAGGTCTGCAGATTCTGACCCAGTTCTTCCACCCTCCCTGGCAGGGGTGGGTGATGTGGGTGCAGGGCAGAGTGCCTACTTGGATGAGTGTGAGGTGACTGTACCCTGGGCTCCTGGATTGCCTCAGGGACTTCCACAGACTCCAGACAGCAGGGAAGCCTGGCCCAAACTAGCCAGTCTGACAGACAGAACCCTGCTCCCTGTGTGTGGGAGCAAGGGGCCCTCTGTCCTGACTGGCCTCAGGTGTCAAGCAGCAGTCAGCATGGCTTTTCAGAGAATGGACCACTGAATTGCTGGCACCAGTGTCTCCCAAGTTCACAGGCCTTGACAAATGCTAGTATGTCCTGGATTGATTCAACTTACCCCCCCCCTTTTTTTTTTAATCAGGCTGGAATTTTCTGGCCGCTTTCAACCAAAGTTTCTTGTAGGACTTCCCCAGCCTTTTTTTTTTTTTTTTTTTGTGTGTGATGGGTTTTTTGAAATAGGGTTTCCCAATTTCTTTGCCCGGGCTGGCTTTGAACTATGATCCTCCCAATCTTTGCCTCCTGAGTAGCTAGGATTATAGGTGTAAGCCATCAGCACCAGGACCTAGGCTGCTTTTTAAATATATTATCTATCTGTATCGATGAGCACCAAATCGTTCCCCAAACGCCGACATGCAAGTGCCTTCCTGCTCCCACAGTGGCCTGACGATGGCCGTCACTCTTCCTCTGTGGAGGGACCCTTGACCTGGGCTGTCTTCCTCAGTAGATGCATCTGGAAGCAGGGGCATTGCTGAACCGAGGGAGGTGGAGATCATTGTTTAAAATGATTGTTTAAAAAAAATCATTATTTACAACCTGTTAATCTGCTTAATTTCAGTGCATTGCTGTTACCAGGCTGGAGGGAAGGTGGGGCCACTTGGAGATCCGGGAATAGGAAACATTTTGGCTTGGTCTTCATGTTCCTCCAGGAGAGGGGACAGCATGCAGAGGTCCAGGCACTGGCTAGGTTAGGGCCAGAGACTCTTAAGCTGCTGCTCCAAGTGCAGTGCGAGAAGCAGAAGGGGCAGATGAGAGCGCAGGTGGTGCACGCCTCGCCGTCGAGGTCCGACGCTAGGGGGCGCCCTCTCGGGCCACACGGCTGGAGCGCCCGGCGGGCGGCCATTGGGGGGCGCTGTCGTGGGGGCGGCAACAGGAGCTTGGTTGCTGCGGTCCCTCCGTCCATCCGTCTGGATGGAGCCCTGGTGCTGGACACGGGCCCGCGGGCAGGGTCCCCAGGGTCCCAGAGCGTCCGCGCCCTCCCACGCCCGCGTACTTCTCCTCCTCTTCCTCTTGCTGCTGCTGCTGCTGCGGAGGCCGGCTGGTGAGTCCCCAGCCCAACCCGACCCGACTCGACGGGACTGGACCCCGACTCGACGGGACTGGACCGCCCCCCTCACCGGCCACCTCTGATCTGCTCGTGTCCTTCCACAGGCGAACTCCAGGGGGCGCTGTCCACTGCTGCCCCTGGTGTCCCCTGCGCCCCTAGAGCCACCTTTCCCTGGGGTGGGCCTCGCTTTCCCCGGCAGGCGGAGGCCACAGAGACAGAAACGACGCCTGTTTCTACAGCCAAACCCACCTTGATACCCGGTGAGTACTGTGCAGTCTGAGGGGCAGGAGGGTGTCACAGAAGGCGTATGGGCCTTTGATCCCTCGGCAGAGGGACAGGGGAGCAAGGGCCCCCAAGAGGAGTGGGGTGGAAGAGACCGTCTTTCTACAAGCGCTGATTGCGCACTCACTGTAGGCCACACCTTCTTCTAGTCCTGGTGACACAGAGGGTGAGGAGAGGCAAGGAGCCCTGGGGTGGGGTAGTGTGCTGTCCCTGTGCGCTGAGCTGGCTGTGCGGCAGAGGCCTGTCCCCCTGCTGCAGGCGCTGACCTGGCTTGCTCTTGACTCCGGATCCTAGTGAGAAACTAAGCACAGCTCTAGGAGGGCTGTGAGAGCCTAACTGTGATGCCCTTAGGCACACCTGTACACTTGCTTGAGCAGTGGACTTTACTTAAGACCCACCTGAGAAGTACTATCCTCGGACCCAGTGCAGAAGATCACTTGAACTGTCTCAAAAAGTTAGTGCCCAGCTCTAACTCCAGCTACATGGAAGGCATAGGTAGAAGAATCAGGTCCAGGCCAGCTGGGGCAAAAATGCAAGACCCTATCTCAAAAATTAAAAAAAAAAAAAGAGGTATGACTCAAGCAGTGGAGAGCCTGCCTGGCAACTGAGAAGCCCTGAGTTCAAATGCCAGTACTGCTAAAAACCAAACCAAAATAACAACAAAAACCCACCCTAGTCAGGGCTGGGGATGTAGCTCAGTGGTAGAGTATTGCATAGCATGAACCAGGCCCTGGGTTCCATCTCCAGCACCAAAAATAACAAATAAATAACTATGCTGGTTGAAGCCCACCTACTTGATTTCATGATCCACTGATCTGTGTGGAAAACATGTAGGATTGGGACTCTTGGGATGCTGGATGTGTACATCTTCAATTTTAAGAAGTTTTCCAAATTGGCAATAGAACCTGGTGCTCCCCCAGCAGTGGGGAGTGTTCTGCGGCAAGAATCCTCCCAACACTCAGTGTCATAGACAGTTTTTGCCAGGTAGGAACGAGCCTTTGTGTCCCCAAGCACCAGGAAGGTTGAGCAGCTTCTGTGGCATCTACCACTGGGCTTTCTTTCTCTTTAGGATTTGCCTGTCAGTGCTCATCACCCACACTTGTTGTTCACCTTTCTCTACATGAGTCACAGGAGGGGGTTCCCAGAGAAGGGAGAGGCTCCACCTTGGCCGAAATAGGGGCACAGTGAAGGTAGAGTCAGATGGAAACATGGATGAGTTTGTGAAGTCCTGGCTGGATATAAGGAGTACACCAGGCTGGTTGGCAGGGTGCTCCAGGGCCCTGGCTGTAGGAATAGTGTGGCTGGAGATGCCAGACCACACATGGGTGGCTTCATTCTGTGATGATGGGTAGGTACAGGTCAGTGGCTAGAGAGGCTGAGGGGAGAACAGGGACAGGGCCACTGGCTGTGAGCGGGTGGGCCTCTCCGTCATCAAGCTCTCTCTTTCCTCCTCAGCCTGTGGTTTCTCCTATGAACGGGACCCTACCCTCAGGGACCCAGAGGCCATGACTCGGAGGTGGCCGTGGATGGTCAGCGTGCAGGCCAATGGCGTACACATCTGTGCAGGCACCCTCATTGCCTCCCAGTGGGTGCTGGCTGTGGCGCACTGCCTGACCCAGTGAGTTGGGGCCCAGGTGGGGTGAGTGGAGAGGCATTTGGAGTGCTGGAGACCTAGTCACCTGCCCAGTGACCTGTGGTCTTTTGTGGAGCCCACAGTCCTAGCCTCACCCTAACTCTCAGCAGGTGGGGGCTGAGTTCGCCAGATTCCCTCCTGGGACTGGTCTTTGGAATGTGCCCACCCTTTGCCCACTTGCCTGCTCTTCAGCCCTGTGTGGTCATTCCTCAGATAGGGAATGAAAGCTGCGAGCCATTTGTTTGGCTGTTTCCTTCTTTCCACAGGAAGCAGGTCCTGGGTCTTTCACTGCGACCTCTTTGCCCGCACCTGGGTCCTCGGTCTTTCGCACTCCTTTGAGCCTGGCCCTGACTTGGGCACTGAGCTCAGAGGGGAGGAGTCATTCCTTTTAGGCCGGTGAGGAGACAGAGTTAGTACCTCTGTGTGGTAGATGCGCCCAGAAGAGTCTGATCAGTGGGGAGAAAAATGAGTGGGAATGCCAATGTTCTGGGGCCTGGAGAGCAGCCTGAGGACATCTGTGTTGACTGTGCGAGCTGGCCAGGGAGGCGTTTTCCAGGCCTAATGGCCAACATAGGAATTTCAAGGGGTATGCCACAGAAGGTAGCATTACACAGGGCTTCTGTCATCTGTCAGCGTGCAGCATAAAATGCTTAGAAGAATCCAGAGTTTGGAAAACTCATCCCAGCTCCACCACTTCTTAGCTGTGCAGCCCTGGGCAAGTCACCGGGCTTCTCTGGGCCTTAGGTTTCCCCTTCCATAAAACGAAGGGGACCACACAGTGTGCGTGCAAGGCCCTGTTCACATCTGTGTGAGGAATAGGCTCAGGGTGCTTGAAGCAGGAGGTTGCCTGCCTGGATTTGCTCCGAGAGCAACCAACAGTGGGGTGGAAAGCAGGCTTGGAGCCTGGGGCAGATGCCTGGTGCTGATGGCAGACTCCCTTCACGGTTTTCCTAGGCCCCGTGTTAATTATACAGTGAGGGTGGGGAGTCCATGGATTGACCAGATGACAAAGACCAGCTCTGACATCGCAGTGCTCCAGGTCATTGTGCATAGCAGGTACCGGTCCGAGCGGTACTGGTCCTGGGTCGGCCGGGCCAACGACATTGGCCTCCTCAAGCTCCAGCAGGTGCTGCAGTACAGCAAGTATGTGTGGCCTGTCTGCCTGCCTGGTCTGGAGTATGAGGTGCAGGATGGCTCCATCTGCACTGTGACGGGCTGGGGATCTTCCAAGGATGGTGAGTCACAGCCTCCCCAGACCAGGGGCTGGTGGGAGAGAGGATGTAAGTGCAGGCTAGGCCCCCTGGATGTACATTCCTGGGGCATCTTCCCCAAGGAGCCCACTGCCCTCAGGACAAGTTCTCATATCTGCACTCTCCTTCCCCCTGATAGTGTCAGTAGTGAACCCATCAGGGGTTCACTCAGGGGACTCTGATTGCCCTTGAACCCTCAGGTGTAGGCCAGAGCACGTAAGCAGAACTTCTTGAAGGTAGGGAGAGCACAGAGTAATAGCTTGTGGTCTACACACAACCCCAGGGTGTCTACATCCAAGCAGACCACCCAAGGAGAGAGGAACAGGGTCCTGTGGGCTCTCAGAAGACCCCATGTGGAGGGAGTATGCAGCTGGAGGTTAGGAGTCACTCAGGGTCCACTCATAGTCCTCCCTTCCCTCAGTGGCTCTTAATCACTTGTCATTCCAATACAGGATCAAGATATGTCTCCAAAGCAGGCATATTTTCTACCACCCAATCCATGCTTCCAGCTCTTTTTTTGCTTTTTAGTTATTTTTTTGGATAGGGTCTTGAGAGTTTTGGATAGGCCTGAGTTGGCCTTTGACTGCAATCTTCCCATTTCTGCCTCCTCCATAGCTAGGATTAGGAACATGCACCAACACACCTGGCTCATGGGACCATTTTCTGATGGACCCTAGGGACGTCCACTCCCTCCTGGGATCCCCCAACCCACAAGAGAGATATCCTTCCCCATGGCCTCAAGGAGCCAACTAACCTCCATCCAGCCCGTGCTATGGCCTGTCTGGGGAATGACTGGAACAGTTAGAAGTGTCCTCTTTCACAGGAGCTCAGGCCAGGGAGAGACACACCAGGGGGCTGGGAAAGGGTGGACAGTGTCAGGGATCCATGGGGAAGGTTGGTGTGGAAGAGGACCCTAGGGAAGGCTTGAAAAGGTAGGCTTTAGTCCTGAGGGTACTCAAATTCAGCAGGCATTTGGGAGAGAAAGACTGGCAGAGCTAAGAGGCTGAGGGGGGATGGAGGACATGTGAGCTTGGTGTGTTGGATTCTGCAGGAAGCAAAGGCAGATCGCAGGGACAGCCCGTTCCAGGGCCCTGTATGGAGGTGCTATTAGGAAGTGTTGGCTAGAGGGGGAGATGAGCCATGCTTAGAGAGACCTCTGTGGCCACCGTGTGGAATGCAGAAGAGGCTGGGGTGGAAGTGGCGGGGCAAAGAGAGATAGAGACAGAGTTGGTGCCCATGGGCAGCAGCAATGCAGCCGAGCCTGAATGGGACCTGTCCCACAGGCTTCCAGTTCCAGACCCTTCAGGAGAAGGAAGTCTCCATCCTGAAAAACAGGGAGTGTGAGGACTTCTACCATAGGTCCTCCAGAATCCCCTCTCTGGTTCGGATCATGACCTCACAGATGGTTTGTGCCTCGGATACCAGCAGGGAGCAGTTCTGCTATGTGAGCACCTCTGCCTCTTGCTCATTCATCCCAAGGGCCAGGAGGTGGCAGGGCATGGGAGGCAAAGGGGAGGAGGTGGGCAGGGATAAATGGGGAAGGGTGGGAACGTGGTAGAGAAGAGATGGGGACTATAGTTAGGGTAGAGACTGGGAGGAAGGAGATGAGGGTTGGGTGGGGGTGGAGGTTGGAGGTGAGAGAGGAGTAGGGGTGGTGGGGAGGTGAAGGGTGGGTGTCCATTGAGGAGGATCCCTTAGGTCTGGGGAACCCAGTTTTATTGACACTGGGGGGCTGTGGAGAGGACCTGTTGGGAGACACCCTGAGCTGGGTTCCTGAGCTGGGCCGTGTCTCTCTCAGGCCCTCACCTGGCTTTCCTGACCCTTGTTACTCTCCCACTCTCCACAGGAGATGACTGGTGAGCCTTTGGTCTGCTCTTCAGAGAATGTGTGGTACCTGGTAGGAATGGTGAGCTGGGGTGCAGGCTGCAAGAAGAGCGAGGCCCCGCCCATCTTCCTGAAAGTCTCCTCGTACCAGCCCTGGATCTGGGACCACCTCAGTGGTCAGTCCCTGGCTCTGCCAGCCCCATCCAGGGCTCTACTGCTGGCTCTCTCACTGCCCCTCAGCCTCCTTGCTGCTCTTTGACACTCTGTGTGCATCCTGGGATACATCTTTGCCCTGAACCCCGCTTCCCCTCCAAGTCCAGAATGCTGCAAGTGTGACTGTCAGCCTGCAAGGCAGAGCAAAGACCAGGTGGTCAATTAAACACTTCTTTTTCCCTTGTCTCCTTCCCAGGCCCCAGGGGCACCTTACTTCCTGGGTCTGCTCTAGTGGGGGAAAGTGTACCACAGTGGGTGGGGAGGTGACTCTTGGGAGTTTATACTGAAAATTTTAGAGCTCCCAAAGGTCTGAGGTGGCTCCTGCAGAGAGTAGAGGCAGTGTGGAGGTGTCATGTGATGGAGGGCTTAAAATGTACTGCCGAAGGCTGACACTGGGACTGCAAGGAACCCACCTGGGGTGAGATGTCCCTCTGTCTGGACTGGGAGGTGCTGTGTTCTTTCTGTGAGACTTCAGTAAGAGTCAGGCTTTCTTTGACTTGGCTACCTAACCATACCATTAATTTGCCTGGAATAGCCATAGTGCACTTAGACCCTCTAGCTCTGCCCCTGCCTGGAGACTGGGATGGGTTCCCATGGGATCAACATTATCCCCATCAATGGCCATGCCTGCCTGAAAAGGGTTAATGGGGGGCTCCAGGTCAGAGGTAGGATAAGTGCACTTCCCCCAGGTTTCATCACTTGCTGCTCTGTGTGACCGTGAGTGTCCTTGGCCCCTCTGGACTTGCACTGCCTTGCCACACGGGGCATTCTGGCCTGGATGGGGAGCATAACTCTTTCCAACTCTGTATATGAGACGCTGCTAGGCTGGACCCTAAAGGCAGAAGCCAGCCAACTGCTTTCACCATGTGCAGAGTACTCGGCGTTCATGGTGGGGCCTTCTGCTGTCCCTCTGCCCCTTCACTGCTCCTGAGACACCAGGTTCATGTTAGCAAGGATCACTCTCCAAATTGTGGGATGATGATCTGACTCCAGGTCAGGAGCCAGTCTGAACTTTGTGAGTCCCCAGCAGGCTCAGACCATCAGAGGCCAGTTGAGAGCATGGGGTAGAGTGGAGGTGAGTCGAGGGTGGCTTTGTCAACACAGAGCCTGGCAGAGCATAGTTTCCCTCCCCAGTTATGAGGCCAGCCTCCAGGGGAGGACCTGGGTGGCTGCAGGTACCCCTCAAACTCTGGGCCATCTTCTCTCTATCTCACCCTAATTCAAGCTGGGACAAGAGTCAGTCACCCATCACATAAATGCTCCAAGGGCAGACCATCCCATGGAGCCATCTCAGGGCAGGTCTAGGCGCCTGGACCTGAGATGGCACTCAGCTTTATTTGCACATCTCTGCAAGCTGTTTTTCCAGCAGGCCTCCCAGCTCAGAAATCATCCCTGGTGTCTTCTTAGTCTCCAGACTCAGGTCTGAGAGCCTCAGTCTGATGTGTGATGTCATGTGGAAGCCCCTTGTGCATCTCCCTTCCCCAAGGAGTCAGCCTCCAGGTGGGGTTTGTCTCCTGGCAAGAGATGCTTCTTTTAGTAGTGGGACCTGGTGAAAAGGAAGCTGTGTGCTGCTACTTTCAGGAGGTAGAAAGCTGGTTGTGCTCCTTGCCATGACTGCCATAGTCTGAGGCCTCCCTTGGCATCTTAAATATTTCCCAAGAGGGGGATGAGACCCCAGATTTCTTCCCAGCTCCCTCTGGCCACTGGCCTCAGTGCTCTGCCCTGTAGCCCCAGCCCCTGGGCCTCATGCCAACCTCTCAGCAGCCCCAGCTCCATCACAAGGTATAAAGCAAGTGTATCCTGTTGTTTTGAACCTGACATCTGCTGGCCCAGAGTTTCTCCTATTTCTGGGGCCAGGAAAGAATACTGTCAGCCATGGGGCAGTCTCCTTATGGTCAAGACTGCTGCCTGGCCGGGGCCAAAAGCCTCTTGCAGTCCTGACTATCCTCTCCTTGCTTATGGCCTTGCGCCCAACCCATTCATGTCAGCCACCCCACAAGGAAACCTCCCTCCCTCATTTCTTCACGGCCACCACTGCCCCTGGTAGAAAGAGTTATATCTGGGTGGGGACAGCAGTGCCAGCCCACTCTGCAACTACGAGGGAAAGTGGCTCAAGGAAAATGCCATGTGGATGGGGTGAAAGGAACAGAATTCAGGCTGTGAGACTGGACACCTGTGCAGTCTTGTCCCTGCCCCTGAGGATGTGGGCATGGTCTTGGATTCCCCTCTGACCATGAGCCTCTGTGGTCCATGTTTGAGCTCAGAGTTCAGGTGCCTGGATCCTGTCCTGGGTTTGGGATAAAGGTCTGCCATCCTGAGGTGCCATGTCTGGGAAGCTTTCTTCATTTCTCTCCTTTCTTCTTCTTGGCCTCGTTCTTTTCATCCTCCTCTACCTTGATGGCCACCGTGTCTACACTGTCCTTCTTCTTCTTCTTCTTGTCCTCTGTGGGTAGAAGAAAAGGGCCATAGTGGTGAGACCAGGTCCTGGGCCTGGTGGTCTTGAGAGAAAGGACTCTGGAGCTTCCCACATTCTGCCCTTTCCTTCCTTCTTCCTTCCAGGCCTCTCCCTCCGGAGAATAGGCTCCTTGTTTTAGTTGCCTCACTCTGACCACTTTCTGTACTCTGGTTTCTTGGGACCAGGCCTGGTTCTGTGCCTGAGCCTGCTGCAGGTGGAGGGCAGGGACAGGGTGATGCAGGACTGGGGCACTGGATGGCTCAGAGGGTTGAGTGGTAGCTGGGGCTGGGTCTAGGACCAGGGCCTACTTACCTCCAGGGATTTCTGTGAGCTCATTAAGGGGCGGCACAGTTTCTAGCTTGTCTGTGTACATCTTAGCTGCTTTTCGCTGCAGGTACCGGGCCTCGATCTCTTTCCGGGTCCGTGGCACACGGCAGTTGAAGACACAGCACAGAGTGATGACTGTAGGGAAGGCAGAGCAGGCTTGACCGGGGCCAGACCCTGGCCATTCCAGGAATAGCACCCAAACATCAGGCTTGATACCATCCACCTATGTGTGCCTCATCCAAGAGACTGGGGCAGTTGACTCAGCAGCCACAAAAGGGCTGCAGGGTCAAGTGGTATTGCACCGGCCTAGCAAGTAAGAGGCCTTGAGTTCAAACTCCAGTATCTCTCTCCTCCCCCTCCAAAAAAACCCAGTGGGGCTCAGATTTCCAAGGTGGCTTCCTGAGCAGAACTGACTTCATACAATTGCCAAGGGTCCCGTACTTTGAAGGACCTCTGCTTGGCTTACTAATCTGTTGAATTCTTTTTGTTTTGCTTTATTTTTCAGATAGGGTCTTAAGATCTTGCCTGGGGCCAACCTCAGATCCCATCCTACTACCTATGCCTGCCATGTAGCTAGGACCACAGGCACACCACTCCTGGTCTTGCTGTTTGCCTGGGTTGGTCTTGAACCTTGAACCTCCCAATGTCTGCCTCCTGAGTAGATGGGATTACAGGCATGAATCACTGCACCTGGCCAGTTCTTAATAACTTGAACTAGGAGTCTTATATTTTAATTTCTCACTGGCCCCATAAATTATGTAGCCCACCTTGGCCCTGAGGGTCTTTGTGACTGCACTGGGTACTGGAAGGCAAGGTGGAAGGCTGCATCATGCCTCTCAGGCTTTTACTCAGGCTTCTGGGTTTCACCAAGTGCATCTGAGGTTTCCTGCCCAGGCTCCTGAGAGCAGAGCCAGAGCTGCCTCTGGCTCCCAAGGATGTGACTGTGTCCTCTTCAGCCTCCTTGAGGACAAGCCTGGGTCCCTCAGGCTGGAGAGGGAAGCAGACCCTGTCCTGGGATGTCTGCCTCAGGCAAAGTTATTACAGGAGTGGTTTTCCGGCCAAGGACAGCTGCACCCACACCATTTGGGCCAAGGCATGGAGTTGGCCTGTCTAGTGTTGGGCAGGGCAGGTCGCAGCTGCCAGGACCTGGCTGGACTGAGTTTATTTTTCTAAGGCCCTGCAGTCTGACCACCTTGGCCCCAGCCCCAGGGGAGGGAATGGAGCTGGTTCCTGTTATAAATCAGATGACCAGACAATACTTCCTGGAAGACTTCTGGGGGGCAGAAGGGCCCACGCAGGATGAGCCAAGCCTATTTGGGGATATAGATCAGACCTATCTATGTACTTTGGGCTGGATCACCCTCTGGAGTCATCATGTGCAACCAAGGTAATATTCCTTCAGCCAGATATTGTGGTCCCACTGAGCTCTCTCGTAAGAGTGAGAGAGAAAAACAATGAACAAGTGAGAGGGTCCTAATGCCTGTGCTGCTGGGCCCAGGACTGGGCTCCAGAGTGAATGGATTGGGGAGTCCCACGCATCCTAGCACACACTGGGGGGTCCACTCTGATGGCTTGGGCCACTTCTCCTGGTCACCCCACAGGCACCTCCTCAGGACCCTGCCCACTCAGGCTCCATGAAGGTCAGTCCAGGCCCTGGGAGGTCTGGGCTTCAAAGGAAACTGAATAGGCAACTCTTGGCAGCCAAAGTAGGGTTCACTCAACTGCCCCTCATCACAGGCCTGCCCTATCCGCCTAGCCTGCTCATTCCTCATCAAAGAAGAGCAGCAAGTGCTTTAAGTTGAATTCCAGGGCCCAGACAGGAGTTTGGGTACTCACCCAGCCCCAGGTCTTCTCCTGCAGGGCTCTAGGAGCAATGCATCAGCAACAGCTGCTTGGGCCTGAGCGGATGTTTGGGGTGCCCCACAGCTGCTCCCTAGACTTGTACCCTAGCCTGCTCCAGGGCTCCTCAGGGCAGACACTTCTCCACCCTACCATGGGGCTTCTGCTGGATACCTGGGTGTGCTGTGGTTGCAGGTACACTTCCCTATCTTCACTAAGCCCCCTGACTTATTCTCTGCGTCTGCTGGGAGTGAAATCAGCCTCTTACTCAGATCAGGGAGGAGGGGATATTTTCTCTCTGGGAGACACTTTTGGTGCCAGGAGAAGCACATGCTAATCAGA